AACATTTTCGTTGTGGCATAGCCAAAATATCTGTGAAAATTGTCAAGAGATTCGCTTGGAATGTCTTATGCGATTTTATTCCTCTGCGGCATGATGTGGCCAAAACAGTTTCAGCCACACACCCAAACTAAAAAAATGAAAAAAAAAAAAAAAAAAAAAAAAAAAAAAAAAAAAAAAAAACGTGTCGAAGGAATGCCAAGACAGCTAAGCGCTTTAGCTAGTAGTTCAGTTCATGCTTTGCAGTTCATGCAATTCATGCGGCTCACTTGAGTCAGTTCATTAAAGTTTCAAATCTGAAATTCTTTCGGTTAATTTTTAGGCTTTCAAAGGAGTTTCAAGTTAGTCTCTTCATAAAAAGTTTATATTTCTTGTTTAGTTCAGCTCATTTAGAAGAGCTTTTCTTTTAGATTTAAAGAAGGAAAAAAAAAATAATGAAATGCATTAAAAAGAAAACATTAATTGTTATTATCTATTAGTAAATAATTAATGTTGCTATTTTAAACTTGCTCAAACTTTTTACCTCTAAGATCTACAGACCTTGGTATTCGAAGTGTAACCAGCTGAAATGGTTTAGGTTTGGTAATTGAGTTTGATTTGTTTCAAAGTAGACCATATTGGAAATATTCCAAAGAGAATAATTCATCTGCTGGATTCGCCATTGTCTGTTGGAAATGAAATTCGGTTTTGGAACCATTCTTCGCCTACTCGATTTTTTTTTTTTTTGGCCTCCAGAGCACATTCTCGTTTATATAATAGATTTGCTTTGGAGTCAGGTCCAATAGAATTAATCTTCGAGCAATAGTTCACGAATGTATGTGTATATCTGATATAGGAAGGCGTAGCAGATACCATAAATACTTCATAAGCTAGGATATCATCAATATCCAAGTCGTTCTCAAAACTGGATCGATTCTGTGACTGTATTTAAGGTCGAGTCCCAATAATTCAAAATGACGAGGGAATCTGTTTTTTTTTTCGATTTACACAACAATTTTTACTATCTTGGATTATCCAGGATTAAGGAGATAGGCTTGTTTTCTATTTATCGCGTTTTTGAAATTACCGGAGTACAAATTATCGAGACTTGACAATATAGAGAATTTCCTACCAAGCTCAGTTCGATAAACTTTAGTTATCGATAAGAAGCGAATACCAGCGCAGTTGAATACAACTTTGGTATTTCGATTGGACTTGAGTATACAGAAATATGAAGCCATTTGACTTTTTAGCTAATGCCTTTCGGCTCCACACAGTTTTTGATCGACGGCATAGGGTATCTGTTAGTTGAGCAAGTCCAAGCCTCTGGGCATCTCACCTTTCTGTTCTCTTTCGAAATGGCATTTGAAATGGACAAACTTACTTTTATTATCCCAAAATTATCCAGATAAATCAGAATATTTTTTAGTTTAAGGGTAGCAAAGAAAAGAGAAGAGAGGGAAGAGGAAAGAGACGAGAGACGAGAGAAAAGGAAAGCAAAATGAATGTTTGGACTTTTAACAAAGTGCTTTTCCCTTGAGTTTTTAAGAGCTACATTTTGCACTAAGTATGTTTGTGCTCTGTCTGCCCCTCCACTTCCTCTTCTTCTTCTTCTCCTTCTAATTCTCCTTTTCAGTCGCTCTGACCACATGCAGCATCCGCAGCATCCAACGCCAAACTCCACCGAGAAGCTGCCCATTAATTGTTGAGCTTAGGGCATTTTTTTCTTGTTTAAAGTAACTTCCCTCCCTCTCCCCCTCTGTCTCTATCTCTGTCTATCTTCATGCCGCTGTCAATGTGTGAAATGAGCTTCAAGTACAACAGCAGCAAAACAACTGACAAGGACACTCATATGAAAACAAACGCATAATTTAAGCGTAATTGCTGTCATTTTTCATTCGAGTGGCGCAGAGGAGGCAGCGGTGGGTGGGTCGGTGGGTTGCTGGGTTGCTCGGCTGGTGAGTGGGTTTTGGCAGGTTGTTGTCATGTGGGTGCGACTGCGACTGCGACTGCGACTGCGACTGCGACTGCGATTGCGATTGCGATGGAGGCTGCTCCAGTTCCGAGTCCATGTCGCCGATTGTCCTCCACACATGGCCCCCAGTGTATGCCATGTGTTACATGTTTGCTCTATATCTATGACTCTGTGTCTGCGTGTGTGTGTTGAGTGTGGGTGATGAGTATGTGTGGGTGTGTGTATGGGGAGGAAGGGGTGTATGTGTGTTGAGTGCCCGCATCCGGCGCTGAAGCGTCAATAATTATGCCGCCGGTTTTTTTATGTACTCTAAACCCATTGAAATTGTTGATACAGGGTATATGGATTTTCCATAGGGGGATGTTACGTGAAGAAGTGGGCGTGGACTGGCCATCTGTCTCTCTGCTTAAGCTCAGAAGCTAAACACATCACAATTTGATGACTTTAGACAGTAAAACTAATAAATATTCGACTATCGATCTCTGTTTCATATTATCGATAGTAATCGATATTTTAAGAACTGTCCAAGCTAGATGCGCCAATATGAGGTCTAAATATTTCTGATGCTACTCCCCCTCTTCCACGCTTCCGAAGATAACTGTCATAGCTTTCAGATGTCATGCTCTATTCTCATGTTGAGACGCAACTCTTCCGAGGGTGGGGCGCGCGCTACGAAGAATCTGCAGATGGTTCACTCCCTTGGAACAGCAACGTTGGGTACTTGCTAGTCGGTCACTCCCCATTCGGGGGCACTGGAATTGTTTTGGATTTGTTTGCTTGTTGTTTAGCTCTTGCTTTCGTCGTTGAGTTGGCGCCCCCTGGCGGCCTGCTGCTGCAGCAATTGGCCGACTTTTGTTGCAGGTTATTGTTGTCGTTGTTATTATTATTGTTGTTGTTATTGTTGTTGTTGCCTAATCGCATTAAGCGCGGGAAAGAAAAAGAATATACAAAGTTTTTTTGCGGCGACTATCAAATGTCAAGTTGTCAACAATTTTTGTTGCTGTTGTTGCAGTTGCTGCTGTTGTTACTGTTGCCACTGTTGCTGCTGTTGCACCTGCAACTTTAGCGCCCATTTTCTTTGTGGCATTGTCCTGAGCCCTGCTCTTTGGCTGTTTGCCAACTCAACTCGACTAGTGTTCGCCTCGCCCAGGGTTTTGCGCAGTTTGTTTGTTTGTTCATTTGTTTGTTGACTGTTGTTGCCGTTGCTGTTGCTGTTGCTGCTGCATTCCGTGTGTTGTCGAGCTCCTGTGTCTAACAACAATTGCACTCGCGCACCACGCCCAATCGCCACCTCTTTGTATTGTGCATCGAGCGCAGCGCGTTTGGCCGCAATTGCCGCAGCGACCTCTGTGCCACGCCCCATTTCGTAACGCCCACTGACATTTGCCATTTGCACTTAAGCCCAGCGTGCACCATCCCTCTCCCCACTCACATTCCATCTACCTCCATCAAAAATCAATATATTCCAGTTTTTCGTATCGACCTCTTTGTACAATCCTACGATAGACCTATGCGTAACTCCCCGCAGCTTAAGTCTTACACTCTTAATTAGTAATACTCATATGAGGATATGAACAGTCGCGACAGCCAGACGGACCACTATGAATTCGAGTGGGGAGGTACATTCATTCCGAATACTTAATGAGCTCAATATTAACAGTAAGAACGTTGCAGTCGGGCGTTACCGACTGCGCAGACTCATTCACATCCCATTAGCAATTTAGTAGATAAATTTTACTCTAATACTGTGTAAAAATGCATTTTGGGCGTAGACACTTCATTTTTGGCCAGCTCATAGAACAAGCTAACGGTATCCGAATTACAAAACTTTGATGCCTACGCTCAAAAAATTTAAAAATTACAGGGTATTTGTTTTATATACCATGCTCCTAAAGAGGCGTAACAATATTATTTGGAGAATCGATAGAGGAAGTTATTAGTTACTTAACTATCCAAATTTGAAGCTTCTAGCTCTTATACATTAGGAGATATTAACTTTTGAGGTTTGTCTCGCCCCCTGTGGGCCAAAACATATCCAACAAAATTTTTTCGTCTTGGGAAGTCAGCCCGAGCATATATACCAAATTTCAGGTCTCTAGTATCAATAGTTTCTAAAATATAGCTGAATTTGAAAAATCACTATATATTAAGGTTCGATTTGCCACGCCCCTAAAAAGCATAGACAAATAATTTTCCCATTAATTTTTATAGAATCACATTCTAGCTTTAAAACTCTAGGCAATATAGTTTTATCCGATTTGTCACGCCCCCAATGGCCGTAGATATATCCGCCATAGCTCGTGATTTTGGATGGTCGACGCGGATCTACATTCCAAATTTCAGCTTTCTAGCTCTTCAACTAA